ATTTACTTCGACTTGCAACCAACTTGACTTGCGATCAGAGTCACGGAACGGATTAAGTTCGTAAGTAGAGGTACCACTGTATAATGATAATGGTAATAATCTTGATTAGGACCAGGGAGACTGAGCCATTGACATTTCCTGGGTGATGTTGGGTCTCTTAATCTAACCTACTATGCCAGGTTGGTGGCGTGCAGACAATAAGATTAATAACAACAAAGTAAGAACAAGTAGATTAATTTCTGTGTCTTTGTAGAATGCTTACTAAAGGTGGGAACATGGATGGAGAAATCTGAAGATGTGCAAATGCTGGTTAAAAGATCGTATGTGATCTGATGAGTGGATGGGCCATTATTGTATCCTTTTTTTTCTTCAGTAAAACTAACAATAAGACATGGAAACAAGAACTAGGGTTTTCTATGATCTTTTGGGGTAATGTTAAGCACGTGACAGATAGGGGCATGTCCTTTCAGATACTGAGTGAACAGAAATCATGCTTCCCAAAAGAGCTTGCAAACACAGCACCTGTCTTCAACATGTTAAAGTAGCCACATATGTTACCAGGATTGCAAATTTGATGGTGTTGAGATCGTCGGTACATGCATACTGTGAAGGACTTTTTAGAGCAAGTCTGCAGTGCAGCCTTCCTTAAAAACTCAGAGAAGCAAACTCAACTAAGCCAATAAAGTGGTAGAGGTGTGTTTGGGCCTTGAGTTAGACCAGCCTTGAAACCAAATGCAGAAAGACATTTGATATATAGCAAGGGACCATAAATTGGTTCTGAGAAATTTGAATTGAATGACCTCCAATGGTGTCTACAATCACTGTATGGACAGACCTGGGCTTCACACAAAAATTGATTTATGACCTTGGCCTCAAAAACTTTCAGTGCCTTGAGGATGTAATTTCCATCCTGGCATAAGAGGAGCTAAGAATGGCCTATGTGCTCCTTTGGGCACTCTTTAGAATAGGTCTTAGTTGGACTTTCCAGGTGCTACAGGTATGAAAAACAATTCCTAGATATCAAAAAAATATGACTTGTTCCATGTCGTTCCTATTAATTTGCCATTGATGCCTGTGGCTTGCAGATCTTTTCATAAAGGCCATAACCTTTTTTCTTTTGGATATAATATAATTAATCCTTTCTTTATGCAGTGGGAGGTAAAGGAATGAATCCTCCCCTGAAGCCAAGTGAGATAACTCCAGCATCTGTGTAAAGAATTTCTTCTTGGTCTGTCACCTAAGATCAAGTGTATAGCTGTGTGGATAAAATTAAGGGATGGAATGCAATCTGGAAGAGGAGGAGGAGGAGTATCTCTTTTGAGAAGAAGTTCTTTCTCTCCTGCTCTTCTAGGTCACTTACCAAATCAGGGGATCATCAAATGGAGGCACATAGACCCACTCAGGGTTGTTCTTCACTAGCTCCTTAGCTGCTTTTGTGCTGTCTGTCAATACCTGGGGAGATGAAGTCACTTTGTTAGATTGAGATGCTGAGAAAACAAAAACAAGAAAGATCTACCACAATCTGTAACCCTCAAGAATGACAAAAATAGCAGAACTTCAGATGTTTGGTCCTTAGCCTACCTCTACTCTCTCCAAACCTACCTCTCCTTCAACACACACAGAGCTGCCTTCTTCCTTCAGTCGCTCAATAGTGAAAGCTGGAGTAGAGGAGGGGACATAGATGGTGGCAGGGACCCCCAACATTCGGGCAGAGTAGGCAACTGCAAGGCCAGCATTTCCACCTGAAAGGAAGGTTATTTGGCATTACATGACCCAAGACTTGGTGGTTGTCTCTGCTTACCCTCTGGATCAGAAGTGGCATACTTGTGCTTCTCCATGTACTGGTGGGTTCTTTCTCCTATCAATCCCAGCCAACAAAGTAGGGGTTTTTTTTGGAGGGTGGGAAGGGGGCAGCAATTTTTTTTCAATCAAAAGAAGTGTGTGTGTGTGTGTGTGTGTGTCAAATAAGTCAAGATGAGAGCCACTCTCATGCAATCAAAATCCCACCCCTATTTTTATGTGCTTCACATGTGCTACACCCAAAAAAGGAACTGGGCTTTGATTATATGGATGCAATTGCATCTTGACTTTTTTGACATCCCCCCATTTCAAACATGCCCCTGAGGATGATAGGAGAATGGGAAGAAAAGGTTCAGCGCCGAACTGAAGCACTTTGTAAGTCTTAACTGGTAGTAACCTGAATAACCCAGTTGAGATGTTATGGTGATGGCCACCTTCCATACTTTTAATGGGCACCTATGGAAAGTTTGTTGAGGATGGAGATACAGGTTGAACCTTGACTTCCTCTTCCATAGTTCACTCATTTTGCTGTTATAATAACAGCCAATAGACTGGGACCACCTAGTAGTTTTCATCCCTGGATGTCCCCCTTTCTCACACACGTTCACACAACGCCCATATTTGTTGGAAGGCTGCAGTGGGTCTCCGTTTACCTGAGGAGCTGACGAAATGTTTGCAACCTCGTTCCACCCACTGTGGAAACAAAGGCAGGAGAATGAGAAGGTGACATTCTTAACTTCACAAGAGAATTGCAACTCATTGCAGACATTTCTCAATTGACGTCCCTCAACTTTGTCACAAAAATAGGGAAAAGGGGGGTACTCCAAATATGCCTGAATGACAGCTCCCATTGTCCATGTTGGTTGGGACTGATTAACGTTTTGATTCATTGATATCCCCAGGTCATGATTGAATGGGTGTGTGTATCCATGATTGAATATATATCTAAAAATTAGAAGGATTTTTCCTTAGGCGTCTAAAACCTACAAAACTGGCTATTTCATTACCCCCATATAAACATGAGAGGTCTTCAACCAGAAGCTGGATGATCATCTCTCAGAGATGCTCTACTAGATTCTGCACTGAACAGGAGGGGCGCATCTAACAGGGGTTTGGCTAGATGACCCATATGCTACCTTCTACCTCAAGGATTCTGTGATGCTCTTTTTAAAAAATTAAAATATCATCTAATATGCTGAATTTGGGTTTTCCCAGGCACCACCATTTCTTCCAGTACTGTCAGAGGTGAATTTGACAACCCCCTTCATGTCCCACTCATAGATTCTCCTCCAATCCATACCGTTTTGCAGAAATTCCCAATGCCCCGTATCTTAAAAGAACCTGTGGGTTGGGCACACTCCAGTTTCAAGTAGACCTTGGTGCCAGCCAACTTGGAGAGATGGGTGCTCTCTCTCAGTGGCGTATTCACATGGAGTGGACTGGAAGGCGCCATCCTAGAAGACTGAGAAAGTAAAGAGGATGAGATCCAGAACAATTGACGTCCAGAACAATTGCATTGCTTCTTCAATCTACACTCACCAAAAAAAGAACCTGTTCTACAGACTCATCCATTTATCATCTCGTAAGCTTTGTTGGATCTTGATAGTCTTTGATGGTACAGTGTGATTTCTGAACATTATCATCAGAAACTAATAAACACGGTTTTGCCATCTAGCCTGAGGATCTGGTAACATGGGTACGGAGACTACAAAGGGGCTGTATTGCTAGAGGGTGCTCTCCCGCAGGTTATTTTATTTTATTTTATTTTATTTTATTTTATTTTATTTATTTTATTTATTTTATTTTATTTTACAGTTTCTATGGTTTTTCATGTTTTTAAATGTTTTTTGCTGTTATATTTGTTGGGCTATTTTTTTGGTATTTTGTCTTTTCAACTCTGTACGTCACTCAGACTCACCTGCGTGAGAACGGTGGCTGTATAAATTTACCAAGTAAATAATGACATTTGGGTTATTTATTATGAATTTATTTATTTCTTTATTTAGTCACCATATTTATAGAGCCACCCATCTCACAAAATGTGACTCTGGGTGGCGTTTCTACATGGCCTTAGGCTAGATTGAGCTAACGAGGGGTTGTTGCTTTTTCATGCATCCGAGTCACGTTTTTGACTCCTGGCAACTGCCTGGCCTAGTCCCTGTAGTTTTCTTGGCAAGGTTTCTTTTGGAAGTGATTTTGCCATTTCCTTCTTCCTAGGGCTGAGAGAGAAAGACTGGCCCAAGGTTGCCCAGCTGGCTTCGTGTCTAGGCAGGACTAGAACTCACCGTCTCCTGATTTCTACCTGGTGCCTTCACCACTATGCCAAACTGGCTCTCAATGACTTTTTAAGGAGCCATAAAACTTCCTTCCAGTTGCCTGGAGTCTCCCCTATGCTACATCTACATAACTGAA